GGGGTCATGTAGTTGGCAACCACTCAATGTGTCTCTCTTAACATCAGTGTTTCTCTCTCTCTCTTCCTCCCTCTATCCCTCCTGCTCTATCTGAAGAAAAATGCAAAAAATGTCCTCAGGTGAGGATTTAAAAAAAAAGAAGAATATTGGTTGGAGCATCAGCCCATGGACTATGGGGTTACAGGTTCCATTCCGGTCAGGGGCATATGCCTAGGTTGCAGGTTTCCCCAGCCCTGACCAGGGTTGTGAGGGAGGCAACCAATCGATGTATCTCTCTCAACATTGATGTTTCTCTCTCTCTCTCTCTCTCTCCCTCCCTTCCACTCTCTCTAAAAAAATTTAAAATATGCCCTGGCTGGTTCACTCAGTGGTTAGAGCATTGGCCCACTGACCAAAGAGTCTCAGGTTCGATTCCGGTCAAGGGCATGTGCCTCAGTTGCAGTTAGGTCCCCGGCCCTGATCGGGGTCCTGCAGAAGGCAACCAATAGGTGTATCACTCTAACATCAATGTTTCTCTCTCTCTCTCTCTCTCTCTCTCTCTCTCTCTCTCTCTCTCTCTCTCTTCCTTCCTCCCTCCCCCTCTCCCACTCTATCTGAAAATAAATGGAAAAATATCCTTGGGTGAGGATTAAAAAAATAAAATTTAATTTTAAAACATAAAATAAAAAAATCAATGGCGCCCAGCTGGTGTGGCTCAGTGGTTGAGTGTCCACTCATGCACCAAGAGGTCACCAGTTTGATTCCCAGTTAGGGGGCACATGCCCAGGTTGTGGGCCAAATCCCCAGTGGGGGGCATGCAGGAGGCAGCCAATCGATGCTCTCTCTCATCAATGTTTCTATCTCTCTCTCTCCCTTCCTCTCTCTCTAAAATCAATAAAAAAAAAATTTTAATCAATGGAAAAAAATTAAAAGAATATTGGTGGGATTATATTCTGCATAGCAAATGAAAAGAAAATAAAAAGACAACCTGCAGATGAGAAAGAATATTTGCAAACCATATATTTGATAAAGGGTTAATATCCAAAATATATAACAAACTCTTATAACTCAATAGCAAAAAAAAGAAAAGAAAAAAATCTGATTAAAAAAAGGGCAAAGGAACTGAAAAGACATTTCTCCAAAGAAGACACACAAATGGCCAACAGGCATATTAAAGGTCATTAATCGTCAGGGAAATGCAAATTAAAACCACAATGAGATAATGCCTCACATGTGTTTTTAAAAACACACACACACAAGATAAATAGTGGTGAGAACATGGAGAAAAGGGAACCCTTGTTCACTGTTGGTGGGAATGTAAATTGGTGCAGCCACGTGGACAGAAAACAGTATGGAAGTCCCTCCAAAAATTAAAATAGAACTATCATACAATTTAGCAATTCCATTTCTGGGTAATACCCAAAGTAATTGAAATTAGGGTCTCAAATTAATATTTGCACTCCCACATTCGCTGCAGCATTATTCACAATACCCAAGACATGGAAGTAACATAAATGTCCACAATGCATGAGTAGATAAAGAAAACGTGGTATATGTGTACAGTGGAAATCCTGCTATCTGCAACAACATGGATGAACCTGGAAGGCATTATGCTAAGTGAAATAAGCAAGACACAGAAGGAAAGATACTACATGATATCACTTATATGAGGAACTTAAAGTTATCAAACTCAGAAGCAGAGAATAGAATGGTGGTTGCCATAGGCTAGGGGGAAGGACAAAGGAGGAGGTAGTAGTCAAAGGGTACAGGTTTCAGTTATACAAGAGGAGTAACTCCTGTAGATCTACTGTGTAGCATAGAGCTTATAAACATATCACATATCTAAAAGTTTGCTGAGAGGGTAAATCTTATTAATGATAAAAGGGGGTCCAGTAGAGCCCAGTGGTTGAGCATCGACCCATGCACCAAGAGGTCACAGGTTCAATTCCTGGTCAGGCACATGCCCAGGTTATGGGCCAAATCCCCAGTGGGGGGCATGCAGGGGGCGGCCAATTGATGTTCTCTCTCATCAATGTTTCTACTGATCTCTCCCTCTCACTTCCTCTTTCTCTAAAATCAATAAAGGAAACAAAAATTTAAAAAATAATAATAGCCCTAGCCAGTTTGGCTCAGCGGTTAGAGCGTCAGCCTGCAGAACAAGGAGTCCCAGGTTTGATTCCAGCCAAGGGCACATGCTTCAGTTGTGGTTCATCCCTGGCCCTGGTTGGGGTCACATGGGTGGCAACCAATTGATATGTCTCTCTCGCATCAATGTCTCTCTCTCTCTCTCCCCCTCTCACTCTGTCTGAAGATAAATGTAAAAATATCCTCAGGTGAGGATTAAAAATAAATAAATAAAAATAATAAGAGGGGAAGAGGGAAATCTCTGGAAGAGATAGGTTATTGTCTATGGTATAGATTTTAGTGATGGTTTCACAGGTGTGTATTTATTTCCAAACTTATTAAGTTGCATATATTAAATATGTACAACTTTTTGTGTCAATTACACAATAGTTTTTTAAAATATTGGGAAACAAATTTTTTAAAAAATACAAAAAAGAAAAAAATATATTGAGAAGCACATAAAAGCTATAGAAGGAACCAAGAGAACCAAGCTTGTTGGGTAGTAACCAGAACACTGTTTAGAATCATGCTGCAGACCTGGTTGGGCACAGAAACTACTGCATTCAATGCCAGGGTGGGCAATGCTGGCACCAAGGACGCTGGGCCCTGCATCCTGCTGCTCAAAACAAGTGCAGCTTCACTGCTGCAACTTCCCAGCCATAGAAAAAGACTTTACATGTCCCTGATTCTTTGCAACTTCATCTTTGATTCAAAATCTGGAACAGGTGTATTTGCTCAGCCTAGCCAAACTCTTTGCCCATGCCCCAGCTGCAAGAGCGGCTATCTTATTTCAACCTTGTTCATCTCGTGGCACACATAAACTACTAAATTTCTGCGGCACACCAAAAATAATATTTTTTGCTGATCTGACAAACAAAAAAGAGGTATAGTGTTGATTCATTCACACCAAACAGCTTTTGTTGGTTGGCTGTTGTCATTTTTTTATTTGACAATCCAAGGGAAAAGATGTTAGTGTCCCTGACTAAATAGTTAGGTATTGTATGTTTTACAAATTTTTGCAGCACACCAGTGTGCCTCCTATGCCGCAGCTCACTGGTCGAAAATTGCTATCTCAGTCTGTTCAGGGTGCTATAACAAAATACCATGGACTGGGTGGCTTATAGCAACAGAAATTTATTTCTCACTGTTCTGGAGGCTGAAGTCCAAGATCAGGGGGCCAACACGGTCAGGTGAGGATCCTCTTCCAGGTCACAGATTTCTCTTTGTGTCCTCACATGGTAGAAGGGGTGAGGGAACTCTCTTAGGCCTCTTTTATAAAGGCACTAATCCCATTGATGAGGGCACTGCCCTGAAGACCTAATTACCTCCCAAAGCCCTCACCTCCAAATACCATCACCTTGAGCATTAAGTTTTCAACATATGAATTTGGGGGAGGACACAAACATTCAGATCACAGCACGAGCTAAAGAAGATCTGGTCTTTTCAGCCTAGTGATATATAGGTTTTGCCTCAGATGACATTCCCAAACTCTCATAAGAATACTAGATGCAGCCCTGGTCGGTTTGGCTCAGCGGTTGGAGCGTCGGCTTGCGGTACAGAGAGACCGGGGTTCAGTTCCCACTAAGGGCGCGTACCTCAGCTGCAGTTTGTCCCCGGCCCTGGTTGGTCGTGCGGGTGGCAGCCACTCGATGTGTCCCTTCACATCGATGTTTCTCTCTCTTTCTCTTCCTCTCTCTCCCTCCCGCTCTATCTGAACAAAAAATAGAAAAATGTCCTCGGGTGAGGATAAAAAATAAAATAAAAAGAATACTAGATGCATCCCAGCCAGTGTGGTTCAGTAGCTGAGCATCGACCCATGCACTGAGGTCATCGGTTTGATTCCTGGTCAGGGCACAAGCCCGGGTTGTGGGCCAAATCCCCAGGGGGGTGGCATGTAGGAGGTAGCCAATCGACGTTCTCTCTCATCAATGTTTCTATCTTCTTCTCCCTTCCTCTCTCTCTAAAAATCAATCAAGGAAAAAAAATTTTAATTACTATAATACATATAGAAAACTTTTCTGTGAAATTAAACTTTTTATACATACTTAATTTTAAGTACACAAACATGTCTACATAAATAAAAACAGGTAAACTAACAAACTTGTCAATTTTTTAACATACACATTTGGAAAACCTACTTTATTATATAACAGACTTTCAGCTTTAATGGACACCCCTTCGCCCCAATTAGTCCATTATATTGAGGTTTGACTGTACCATGTCCCATGAACTCCTTACTCTCCAAGACTTAGCTCAAACATAACTTCTCCATGAGACCAATTAAAGCTCTGCAAATATGCCAGTCCCAGAAAGGGAGTGTCCACCCAGATAAAGTGCCTTTTCCCACCTGCACTAATGCTTAGTATCCATCAATATCTTGATTCCAGCAGGAGGCCACGCAAAGCCCAGGAGCCAGGGAGGAGGAAGAGAGTGGTGAAGGACATCTCTTGATCCCTGGGTTCTCTCTCCCTCGCCTCTGTCACAGGCATTGTGATTTGACTCCTGAGATCCCAAGAATCAACAATCAGATGTCAGTGGCTAGGAGAGATCCCTGCCATGTGCCCGGTTGGCATGGAGAGTAGACACTCAGAGGATCAAATATCTCTATTTGTGCCCTGGCCAGTTTGGCTCAGCGGTTAGAGCGTCCGCCTGCGGTCCGGAGAGACCCGGGTTCGGTTCCCGCTAAGGGCATGTACCTTGGTTGCAGTTTGTCCCCGGCCCTGGTTGGGTCGTGTGGGTGGCAACCACTCGATGTGTCCCTTTCACGTCGATGTTTCTTTCCCTCTCTCTCTCCCTCCCACTCTATCTGAACAAAATATCAAAAATGTCCTCGGGTGAGGACTAAAAAAAAAATCTCTATTTGTCAAGTACTCAGACCAAGTCTGCTCTCATTTCAGACCAGAAGGAATTGTTGCCCACGAGGTTTCCCTCGATTATCTCAAAAGATGGGAATTATTCTGTGCACCAGAATAGCCACACAAGGTACCACCAAGCTGTACGGAAGGTGTTGTTAAAGACATGTAAGTATCTTTGTGTGGGCTATGTCTGAGTTCCTAAAGAATGGCTGGGATGAGGTGGGGCGTGGTTATAGGGCAGGGAATAGAAAGAGCCAAGGAGAGAGACTGAGAAGATGAAGGAGAAAGTAGACCTTAGTGGTGGAGTGAGCAAGATAAAATAAAGATTGAATCAGACTTGGAAGCAGAAGATCCAGGTTTGAGTCCTAGTTCTGCCTTTTAAATGTCTCACCTTGAGTAGTCACTTATCCTTAATTAACCTGCTTCCTCATTCATTAAAAAATAAAACAAGAAATAGAAAATGCCTACTCTACCAATCTCAAAGAATTGCTATGAGGATCAAACCAAAAAGGAGATGATTTAGGAACATACTTGTCTATTACTAAGTGCTATGCCTCTGAGGAGTGCAGACCAAGCACTAGCTTTGAAATCTGAACAGAGTTTAAGTTCCAAACAAATTGTGTAACCTTGACAAAATTTCTTTAAACACTTAACTGCTCTGGAACCATCTGGAAATGGGAATAATACTCCAGCATTGTGTGAAAGTTAGAGCAAATATACATTTTAAAAAGCATCTAGGCCTGCCTGGCCGGTGTTGAGCCAGTGGCTGAGCATCAATCCATGCACCAAGAGGTCGCCGTTTTGATTCCCAGTCAGGGCACATGCCCAGGTTGTGGGCCCGCAGTAGGCAGCCAGTAAATGTTCTCTCTCTCCTTCTCCATTCCTCTCTCTAAAATTAATACAGAAAAAAAAAAAAATCTCTTAAAATAAATAAGCATCTAGGCCTGGCTAGTGTGACTCAGTGGATTGAGCATTGTCCCATGGACTGATAGGTCCTGGTTCGATTCCTGGTCAGGGCACATGCCCGGGGTTTCAGGCTCTGCCCTTGGTGGGGGACATGCAGGAGGCAGCTGATCAATGTTTCTCTCTCACATCAATGTTTCTATCTCTCTCTCCCTTCCTCTTGCTCTAAAAAAATCAATGAAAACATACTTTAAAAAAATTTTTAAAAGGCCCTGGCCGGCTTTGCTCAGTGGTTAGAGCATCAACCTGTAGTCCAGAGAGACCCGGGTTCAGTTCCCACTAAGGGCACATATCTCGGTTGCATTTTGTCCCCAGCCCAGATTGGGTCGTGTGGGTGTCAACCACTCGATGTGTCCCTTTCACGTCCATGTTTCTCTCTCTCTCTCTCTCCCTCCCACTCTATCTGAACAAAATATCGAAAAATGTCCTCGGGTGAGGATAAAAAATAAATAAATAAAATAAAATAAAAAGCATCTAGGACAAACTACTTGTTACTTGATACTGACAACTTGTAGGAATCTCCAGGGAATTATGCTATATAAAGAAAGCCAATCCCACCCAGCCAGTGTGGCTCAGTGGTTGAGTGTTGATCCATGCACCAAGAGGTCACTGGTTTGATTCCTGGTCAGGGCACATACTCAGGATGTGGGCCCAGTTCCCCAGTGATGGGCATGCAGGAGGTGGCCAATCGATGTTGTCTCCCATCGATGTTTCTCTCTCTCTCTCCCTTCTTCTCTCTAAAAATCAATAAAGAAAAAATATATATGGAATGCTTATATACATATAATTTCTTAGGGGGGACATCTGTAATACTTTTAACAATAAAAATAAAATTTTAAAGATATATGGAATACTCCACAAATTTGTGTGTCATCCTTGCTAATTTTCTCTGTATCGTTCCAATTTTAGTATATGTGCTGCTAAAGTGAGCACTATAACATTCCTTTTTTAAAATAATTTTTTATTGCTTTTTAGAGAGAGAGAGGGAAAGGGAAAGAGAAAGAAACATCAGCTGCCTCCTGCACACCCCCAGGCACATGCCTTGACCAGGAATACAACTAGCAACCTTTCGGTGCATAGGACAAAGCCCAACCAACTAAGCCACACAGGCCAGGGCTACTATAACATTCTTTTTTTTTTTTTTTTTTTTTTTTTGGTATGTGCCCCTAGCTGCTAGGGCCCAGCGGGAACTGAACCTGGGACTCTCTGGTCCGCAGGCCAACACTCTAACTGCTGAGCCGAACCGGCCAGGGCATACTATAACATTTTTTAAAAAAAACAAATTATATAAATAAAGAAAAGATGATTGATTACCAAGGTCAGGGTGAGGAGGTGGAGGGTGTGGCTATAAAGGGCAACTCCAGGATCATTAGTGATGGAGCTGTTCTATATCAGTATGTGAATAGCATGGCTGTGAAATTGTACTATATAGTTTTGCAAGATGTTACCACTGGGAGGAAATGGGTAAAGGGTACACAGGAAGAAAGGGAATGAGGAATTAGCCTAAAAAAAATAAATAAAACCTATGACCCATCTTGCACATTTCCCAAGTGGGTTGACACTTGTTTTTCCACTACCTTAGCACTGGGGAAAGCTCTCTTGGGGATGGGCTTAGTAGCAGCAGGAAGAACCAAAACTGATTCAACTGACCGTGAAGGGTGTGAGATGCTAGAATCCGGAAATAAAGCTGGGAGGGTGTGGTGACCAAATTCCTAGGACTTCTCAGCACCTGGTCAGGCTCAGTTGCCAGGCTGTGCTTGTGCTGCCCTGAAGCACAAAAGGGAGTACAGAGCTCAAAGAAAATGAATAACCTGCCCTTCCCTACACCCTTCAGTCCCCAATCAAGTCTTCAGAGTCCCCTTGACTGATGCTCAGAACTTCAGCTTCTGGAGGTCCCAGGATCCAGGAGTGCGCCTGGAGGAAACCACGCCGTGGATCCGGAGCCCTCGCCACTGCCTCATTAAAAGCCCAATGACCAGGTAAGGCTGGGAGGGGTAAGGTGGGAAAACCAAGGGAAGTCCTCCCTCCCCTCACTTAAATCATTGAGAGACTGCTTCATCTCTTCTCAGAGTTAGGGAATAAAAGAGATATTTTGGGTTTTGCCAGGGAAACTGGCCCAGAATTTGGGTAGTGGTGGCATTCAAAGGAGTTCAAGGTGTATCTGGTTTTGTTTCGCCTCCTGGAGATGACTTCTGAGCCGGCACAAGTGTCTACAGCATTCCTGTCGGAGTCCTCCCTGGTTGCTGCCTCCCCACCCTCCAGCCACCACCCACTGGCAGTACCCCTGCCCATTCTGCCCTGAGGCAGTCTTGTGAGCTATGTTTAAGGAACCCCCTCCCCGACACACACACATTCCAGCCTGACCTGGCTGAATCTGACACCCTCTCTTTTCCAGGTTTATGGATCACTCTATCCTCAGTGACAGACTCTTCAGTCTGTATTGAGCAGGACGTGTTTGCTGAAGGACAGGATGGACTGTGGAAGAAGGTGACCTGGTTCTGACGGCCGATTAATGGGAGGAGGGGTTTGAAAAAGCAGAGTAAACTTCAGATTGGACTACAAGTCACTTGTATGTACTGAAAATGAGGGGGGAGGGAAATTATCCCAACCCCCTAATTCCTGTGAGATGGGGTATGTGAGATTTCTGGAGTAGCCAGAACTTGGTGTTTGCTTTGGGAGGGGCCAGAGCACTGGAAAGACCACCACCAGGGGGTCCTAACCTCATCCGTGGAAGAGGTCAGAGTAGCAGGTCTGGGAAGACACAGTGGTCCTCATGATGCTGAAGGGCCTAAAGTAGTTATGTTCGCAGAAGATAATGCAGCTTCACCTTGGCAGAGGGAAAAGCATAGGAAGCCCTCTGACCACAGTGGAGAGAGGTCCACCAAGCCCTTGGACAGGAGGCTGCCTCCTACACCAGGCTCAGCCAATTCTGACCCACCTGGGGCCCAGAACAGCTTCAGAGAACAGGGAATTTTACAAAGAGTTTGATTTTATTGATATTTAAATATATTAAATATTTCACTGAAATACATGGCACATCACCCAGCCCCCTCCCACAGTGGTTACAGTATAAAACCAAGTCCCTGGGCCTCCCATCCACTGACTTCCCCCACCAACTGGTGAGGAAGGGGACAATGGAAGCCCGGGGGAAGAGCATGGCTGGCACTGTGGTACAGGAAGCCAGGGTGTGGGCAGGCCTTTCCCACCTGGCAAGAAGCAGAGACAAATCACCCAAGACTGAGGTCTTCCCACTCTGGTCTCCTTATACCCTCACCCCAACCCCAGGGCTCCAAGCAGTCCCTATCCAGGAATATGGCTGGGGTGTGAAGCTGATTTTCTGTCTGGACCAACTCGTCTTTTCCCCTCTTCCTGCCTTGGCTAATGAAGTTCCTAATGGCCTGTTTGGTTGATGCATGAAGAGCCCCTGGCAGACAGTTCAAAAAAGAAACAGGTCTCTACCAGGAGCTCGAGTGAGAAAGGGCATGCGGAAGGGCAAGAGTGCCAGCTGCCCCTCCACTCCCAACCCAGCAGTCTGACCCTCCCTCCTCTGCCTCGAATCACCTCCAAAACAAAGCAATCTTCAGGCGAAATTCAGGCCAGTGACCCTGGCTTAAGTAGGTACAGACAGAGAAACCAAGGCACCGACTAATTCAGGCCAGAGGCAAGGAGATAGCAGGGAAAGGAACAAAAAGGAGGCAGAGATAGGAAGGGAATAGAGTCCCGCCTCCTACCTCTCCTGCCAGCCCTTGCGGGCTTCATGAGGACTGGGGAGCCAGGAACATGCTAGATTCAGGCTGAAGGCTGCGGAAGGTCAACTTTCAGGTTCCCCTGCCCCATCCCCTAGTACCAGTATCTGGGTCCTCAGAGGGATCCCATCCTACCCCAATCCCAAAGCATACCATGCCCCAGGACACCAGCTGGGAAACCCAGGAAATTCCTGAGCTTCTGCCCACCAAACCCCAGACAGTTCAGGCTTGGTCTCTGCCCTGGGCAGGGAGATAGTCATGCTGCACACGTGGCCCCCAAATGGCACTTAGGGATTTGGCACAAAAAGGACTCTTCTCCCCAGGGACCCCTTCTCTTGCTATGACACCAAATCCCACTTCTGTGCACCTGGACATCTCTCTCCATCCCTTGAAACTGAAAACCCTGCCTTATTCTCAGAGGACAGGCCTGCAAAAGAGAGGCAGCCTGGGGTGGAGAGCTGAGGAACAGGAGCGCAAGAACACACAGCCCTGGAAAACAGACACGCACACAGAGACCGACATGCACACACATGCACTGACACACAGGCCCTCCCCAGTGCCAAAGGCTTGGGAGGACAGGTTTGGGATCAGGGTCATCTTACTCCATGCCCTGGCCCTTTCCTAATTTGGCAATAGAAGGGGTAGAGATGCTCCGTGCCCCCTTGCCAGCAGACAGCAAGAGAGCACTGGGGCAGAGTGACCTGATCCTGACCCTCAGGGCCCTCAGACCAGAGTCCGGCCCCGCCCCTCTCCCTAGCCAGCCTGCTCTCTTTGGCACCTGCAGGTGAACTTCCAGCTCCTGATCTGACATCCCTACACATGTCTGCTCTCTGGCTGGGCATTTTCACAGTACCAATGAGACCAGATGCCCCTTTCCCTGGCACTTTGCAGGAACTGGGGCTAAATCTGAGCTGTCAGAAGTCCCTTTGTTCCCCTTTGGGGACAGATCATGGGACTAGGATTTGGCAAATGGAAACATTCCCCTGAAATAAGGATGGAGCTGGGTCCCGAGAGCATCTCCTTCCTCTGCCTGTGCCTAGGAGGGAGACCTGGCTGGGTCAGGGGGTCCCCAAGACCGTGCTGGGGATGCAGGCATAGCAAAGGCAAGCATGGAATAGGCACTCTTCACACCTGCCCCAGTCTTTGTACAAAATATTCCCAGGAAAAAGGGAAATGAGGGGCCCAGCCCTGAGCCTTTTGCCCAGACAGGGAAGGGCAGGCATGGCAAGCTGTCATTTCTATCTTTCAGGCAGGAAGGCTCCCTCTGCCACTTCCTCCCCTTCTCCCAAGAGCTGGAAGAAAGGAGAGGGAACAGCCCTGCCCCAATTTTAAAAGAAAGTCACTTGCAAAACCCTCTTGGTATCCCCTCATTCTCCAGCCTGAGGGCAGACAAGCATGGTCCAAGCACAGCTTGCTGGGGTGTTCCCTTTTGTGGTCAGCAGGGTCTTGAGGCTCAGTGCCCCCTGCCACAGCTTCACCCAGCGAGCACAGAGTCCACTCAAATGCCCACCTTGGTCCCTTCAGCTAAATTTGTAGCTGGGCCCTGCTAACTGCTGGGGCCCCCATTGAGGAAATAGGTGGTCATCTCCCCCTTGCCCTTCACCTTGACCAACCCTCGACACTCCAGCTGGTAGCCCTTGGCAGCTAGAACCTGGTACAGGTCCGTGGTCACCTAGGGGGGTAGGAAGGGAGAATGCTTAGCCTGGGATCCTTCCTGCTACATTTGCAGGGGCCCAGGGGTCCTCTCGTCATACTGGCTGCCCTCCCCAAATTCCCACCCCACCAACCACAGTACAATGCCACCCTGCCCCTGTCCTAAAGTCTGCAGAGAGGGACCTACAGAAGTCCCCTGGACCCATACTTGTCCATACTTGTCCCAGCCTCTGCTCACATTCCCCTCACCTGGATTCGGTCAGGAACCCCTGTGCTGTCCATCCGGCTAGAGACATTCACTGTGTTCCCCCAGATGTCATACTGTGGCTTCCGAGCCCCAATGACGCCTGCCACGACTGGACCCATGTTCAGTCCTGGGGTGGAGAGAGCAGTGTAACACTGTGATGAGTGGCTGTTCCAGGGTCAGCCCAGGGAGTCACCCCACTTCCTGGCACCATTAGAAGGACCCAGAGAAGAAAATGGCAAAGGGACAGTGACTTGGTTGTAAAGAATGGTCCTGTCAGCTGAGGCGCTCCCCCGAGTCAAGACAGCTCTGCTGTAACAGTAGCTAACCTCCTGAATGTGCGTTCTGTGCCGACCGCTCCGTTAAGCATTTCATCCTCTCAACAGCCCGGAAAGGTAGGTACCGTTATCCCCACTTTACAGGTAAGGTAAGTGAAGCTAAGAAAAGTTAGGCAACTTGCTAAATAAGCCAGTAAGTGGAACATTCAGAATTCAAACTAGTCTGACTCCAGAATCCATGCTATTAACCACTCCCATCCTCAGTTCATCTGGAGGAAGTGCCTCTTATCAGACTGGCCATAGATAAGGACACATACTGGAGTTGACATATACCTAGATTTGAATCCTAGTTCAACCACTTACTAGTTATTTAATCTTTGAGGTCAGTTTCTTTATCTATAAAAGGGAATAATAATGTGAGGATTAAAATGTGCTCACAGCCCAGCCGGTGTGGCTCAGGGACTGAGAAGTCCCAGTTCCATTCCCAGTCAGGGCACATGGCAGGGCTGTGGGCTCGATCCCCAGTAGGGGGCATGCAGGAGGCAGCCAATCGATGTTTCTCTCTCACATAGATGTTTCTATCTCTCTTTCCCTTCCTTTCTCTTTAAAAAAAACCAATGGAAAAAAAAAACAAAATAAAAGAATAAATAAAGTGTGCTCACAAATGTCTAGAACAGTGCCTAACACATAGCTGGCCCTCAATGAATGATCTCTGTCCTTCATATCAGACAATATGGTGAGAGAAAGGAATCCTTGTGGGAGTCTGTGATGCCATCCTGCCTGCTCCCCCAGCTCCTCCCAGAAGCAGCCTGGGAGACCCTCCTGCCAGCAGGCCCTCTCACCAATCTTCATCTGGAAGTTGTTAAAGGAGTGCTCGTTGATGTGCTTCATCTGCTCCATGAGCCGCATGGCGTAGTCAGCAAGGGCAGTGATGTGGGAGCGGCCCACCTGATCATAGGTGCTGGCATTCAGTCCAGAGGCAGCCATGTAGGTGCTACCAATTGTCTTGATCTTCTCCAGCTGCCGAAACCGCTCCTCACTGATGATCTGGACAGCACAGGGGGACCCAGCTGTCAAGGCAAAGAGGCCACACCCAGCCCTGCCCCAGAGCTCATTCCTTGCCATGCCCTGGCCCTCTTCCCCCACTGCCCTATCTCAATAGCTCCCCTCCTTTTAGCGAGAGAGCCTCCCTTCCAGCAGCTGCTGTCAGAGCAGGACTGAGGAGCCGGCAAAACAGGCCTCTGTCACCAGGCAGCTATCAGAACCCAGGTGAGGGCATGAACACAGAGCTTCAGGTCAATTCAATAGCTCACTCACAGAATCCAGAACCACAGAAAGATATTGAACATCAATTATCTCAACCCTGACCTTTTGGGAAACTGAGTCCCAGAGTGAGAAAGTACCTCCCCTCCAGAACAGTGGAAAGCCCATTTCTGGCCTGCATGTTCAGAACACTTCTTTATATTTTGTTTCTATTTCCTCTATTCAGGGGGTCCATCTTGCTTACTTGGCCTCATGGGGCTTTATCCACAGACTCATGCCTTCTTCTTCAATGACATTCACCTGGTACTTATCCTGT